CTGTCAGCCTGGACAGGCCACGGAAGCAGAATCCAGGGAGATGTATGCTGATTACAGGCATTCAATTAGTTCAGTTTGAATAATGCAGCTCTGGATGCTGCTATCAGTGCTCAGAGGCTTGGAGACACCCTCCCCCACTTCGGACTTTTAATAGCCTTTTCCATATTTATTGCTACCTAACCAGATACTTCAGACAGATCCTGCATTTGGTATAATTTGATATCTGCCCAGTCCCCAAAGTGCCTTCTCAACAAATGTTTACCCGATGTTAAAGTATATTTAATAGATTTATATTCCCCTTTTCTGAACGGAGTTCTCGAGAAAGGCACAGTCCATCTTCCCAAGCAAAGGACCTCGCATTCTCTAATGAGGTGGCCTCCAGCAGGAACAGTTTAATAAATCACTTATTAAAATGGACCTAGAGGCTTAGCATAGTGCCTAAGGCACTTGACTGCTAACCAGAAGGCTAGCGGTTCAAACCCACCAGCCACTCCTCAGAAGGAAGGTTGGGCAATCTACTGCCAAAATGATTGTTGTTTGTTGTTGTTGTTATGTGCCGTCGAGTCGACCCCGACTCATAGCGACCCCTCCTTGGGTTTCCGAGGCAGTATCACTACGGAAGTAGAATTGCCCAACCTTCCTTCCAAGGAGTGGCTGGTGGGTTTGAACCGCCAGCCTTCTGGTTAGCAGTCAAGTGCCTTAGCCACAATGCTACCAGAGCTCCCAAAATGATACTGCCTCGGAAACCTGAGGAGGGGTCGCTATGAGTTGTGTTCGACTCCACCGCACATAACAACAACAGAGGCTTCCTTAGCTCCTGGCTCCTGCACTGCCCCCTTCCAGCAGAGGGCAGCTCGAGCCCTCAACTGACCACATCCAAGCCCTGCCTCTGGGCCCTCCAACCCCTTGCTCAGTTGTCTGTTGTGCAGAATAGCCAGGGACAGGCAGAGCCTCAAAACAACAAAGCAACAAAGAATCTTTAAAGCTGGAGGACAATGGCTGCAGCTGGAACTGAGCTGGGATCCGGGTCAGATGATTGTCCAGCTTCGTCCTGGTCCATTTCAGGTTCTGCTTTGGCAACTTACTAGCTGAGAATCTTCTACAGTTATTTAACCTCTCTGAGCCCTGTCACCTCCTGTACAGTGGTGGCATAGTGCCTAAGGCATTTGACTGCTAACCAGAAGGCTGGTGGTTCAAACCCACTAGCCACTCCTCAGAAGGAAGATTGGGCAATCTACTTCCACAGAGATAACCGCCTCGGAAACTGAAGGAGGGGTCACTATGAATAGAATCAACTCGACAGCAGTGAGTTATCTTATAAGAGATAAGAAGTTCTGGTGGTACAGTGGTTAAAGCATTCAGCTGCTAACCAAAAGGTCTGTGGTTTGACAACCCCCCCCCCAAGTCAGTAAGTGGGAGAAAGAAGAGGCAGTCTGGTTCCATAAAGATTTACAGTCTTGGAAACCCTGTGGGGCAGTTCTGCTCTGCCATTTATGGTCACTATGAGTCAGAAGCAACTCAATGGCAGTGGGTTTGGTTTTTGGTTTATCATACAAGGATGGAGTCCCTGGGCAGCACAGTTTAGTACTTGGCTACTAACTGAAAGGTTGGTGGTTCAAACCCATGCAGGGGTACTTCAGAAGAAAGGCCTGGAGATCTCTCTGCTTCCAAAAGGTCACAGCCATGAAAACTCTATGGAGCACAGTTCTGTTCTGAAAAACATGGAGTCGCCATGAGTCATGGTAAAAAAAAAAAAATATTGTAGAAACAGAACATTGTACAATATCATGCTGGAAGATGAGCCCCCTGGGTTGGAAGACCCGATACGGTGGCTGCGACAATGAGCCCAAACATGCTAACAATCATGACGATGCTGCGGGACAGGACGACAGTTTAGTATGTTGCACAGTCACCATGAGTTGATGCCAACTCCACGGCAACTGACAACAACGTCCTACAGGGCTGTTGTGAGGACTGAATGAATGAGTGTGGCCCACATTAAGAGCTCAGTTAATGTGGACGTGGTGTGGTCTAAATTTTTAAACCCTCTGGGGCCCCAATTTCCTCACCTCCTTAGGAGAGCTCCTTACTATGGGTTTCCAGGATAGCTAGGACAAAAGTGATGTGCTGATGTGAAGGAATGGGAGGGAAAACACCTTGTAATTGTCTGGTGCTTTGATCTCTGCCGTGGCAATTACTCCTGGGTGTGTGACAGAAGCCTCGCCTTCTCAAAGAATCTTTTCCCCTGGCTCCCACCCCCTTTGGCAGATTGATGTGGAACTGGAGGGGGGCCCTGCCCCTAACTCTGTGAAGCATCCCACCCTGAGCCTCAGCCTTCCCAAGAGGATAGGGAAGATGCCTAACGGCCTCTCTGCTCCACAATGCTGGGATTCCCTGTGATCTGCAGGGCAGAGAGCCAGATTAAGGAAGAGGATCATGAGGCTAGGAAAAGCGAACTGGCATCCTCAGTCACCCCAGTGGCACTGCCAGTCTTGCCTGCCGTTTCCTAATAATGACTGATAGGATAATGAGCCCTCCTGTATGGCTTCTGCTCCAGGGCCTCCATGGCCACAAGGAAGAGAAATGAGGTATCACTCCCTTCCCCCCCAGCCCCCCCAGCCCCTCTTCTTTCTCTCTCCTGGGGCCTGTCTTACCTGATGGCTGAGTCACACTCCAGCTCCTGTCACTTCTAGCTGTGTTGTGACTCCGGGCTGACAGTTTTACAACAAACACATTAAAAGCTCCTGGCACTGGGGCTCCTGGGCGTGTAATAATAGCCCAGAAGAAAAACCTTTAGCAGCCTTTCTTCAGCCGACATCCTCCTCCTGGTGCCCCTCCTCCAGCTGCCTGTCCCACCACCAACACCCGAAGCCAAATGCGGGGCTGAGATTTTTTCATTGCATGGCTTTCCAGGGGTGACTGGAGGAAGAGGAAGGCTGCTGAGTGGGGAAGCCTGTTACATCCTGGGATGGGGCTGCCAGATGAATGAGCTCATCCCACAAATACAGCTTGAAGAAATTCCAGGGGACTGGAACCCGAGGTCAAGGTGCTGGGGAAAGAGCACAGTCCTGCTCAGCCCTGCCTTTAAGGACATAGGGCTTTTGCTGAAGGATTATGTGGACCAACGTTGTTGTTATGTGCCCTCAAGTCGGACCCAACTCATACCGCCCCTCCTTGGGTTTCCGAGGCAGTATCACTATTAAGTACATTGCCCAACCTTCCTTCTCTGGAGTGGCTGGTGGGTTTGAACCACCAGTCTTCTGGTTAGCAGTCAAGTGCCTTAGGCACTATGCTACCAGAGCTCCCAAGGACCAATGTTAGTTGCTGTCAAGTTGATTCTGACTCATGGCAACCCCACTGTGTGCAGAGCAGAACTGCTCCAGAGGGTTTCCAAGGCTGGAACCTGTCACATCTCCAGGCCTGTCTTTCAAAGGGCCTCTGGTGGAGGGGTTCAAATCACTGACCTTTTGCCTAGTAACTCAAGCACTTAACCGTTGTGCCACTCAGGGACTCCTTTATGGGGAAATAGTGGCCTGATACTGAGTCCCACTATGTGTGGTTATTAACATTTCCAGCAGCTCTATGAGGTAGTAGCTGTCTTATCCCCACCTTACAGATTTAGAAACTGAGGCTTAAGGAAGTTAAGAGACTTGCCCAAGGCCACAGAGCTAGGAAGTGAAGGAGCTGGGATTTGAATCTAAACTTGCCAGCCTCCAAACGCTGCTCTTAACTAGGTTGGCTACCTCCCAAGACATCATCCCTCCTTCTCTCCCCACCTCACCCAATGGCAGGAATTGCAGAGAAGCAGAGAAATCCAAAGCAAATCCAAAATGGCATAAAATGGCCCTTCAGGGATGGCCCGACACTCCAGCCCATCTCTCCATCTTTTTGCCCCCCAGACCAAAGCCACCCACTCCCTCATTCCAGTCTGCAATCATCATACAAACAGCAAGTCCCCAGAACCAAAAGAAAGAAAGGAGTGAGACACAGGAACAGTTCTTTTATTGTACATTGGAGAAATAGCCCTATGTGCTGGTTAAAGGTGTAACATACAGAATATTCAATTAAGAAAGAGGGAACAAGGGTCAGAAAGGGGGGAAAAAAACCTCTTGAGGTCCAAAGTTGCAAACAAACAAACAGAAAAATGGTAAAAGATTTCCTCACGCAAGAGGCGTTTTTGCAAATACCATGCAAAATAGGCAGCTGGTGTGCCTTAAGAGAATCCCTATAAATAACAGAAAAGACACTCCAAGCATTCCTGTACACCGACTCAGAGCACAGGGAAAAGAAAAGAAACCAAAATGCCTTTTGGCATTTCAAGATATTTGGCACTCTTGTGATTACATTTTTTTTTTTTACAGTCCATTAAAGAGAATAAACTGACACAATATTAGAGAAAAAACAGGCTGCTCACACAACAGAAAGCAGGGGGTTAGAAAAAGCTCAAGCAGGTTTTTTTTTTTTTTTTCCCATACAAAATGTGTCCATTTGCATTAACTTGGGCAAATAGCTTGCAGCAACAAAGAAACACAAGCTTTACAATTCATTTTAAAATAGGAAGAATCCTTTCTGTGTGCCAGTCCTTAGAAAAGTCCCCTTTTTGTTTTAACACATTCCTGATAGTCTCAAAAGAGGACCAAAATAAAACAGTATCTATAGAGATTGATTATTTTTTTTGTACATCCAAGGATAACATAAAAAATAAAACTGGACAGCATTTCACATCCAAGTGCACAAAATCATTTTTGCAAGATTAAATAATGTAAACATTGGGAACAGCCAAATCAGCGAAGAATGCCAATACCTCAAAACCCCGGTGTTGTGGTTTCATTATTTAAGTGGTTCAAGATCCAGATCTTTCATTGCGCAATATTCATGGTATATAAAAAGAAATGGATATTAATTTCAACAGATAGCTGCAACTGAGACTTCTTTTTCTTTATATGTATATGTATATAGTGATTTTTTTAATTTTTAAAATTTATTATTATTTTTTTGAATTTTGCAGAGAAGCCCAGAACCTGCTTATCCCTCCTCCTTCTCATGCCTCATCTGTCTCCCGGCCTGATAGGAGACACAGGTTCTTGATTTCATCGTGGGTAGCAAGCTAGTAAGAAATTTCCAAGTGCTTTCTCTTTTCACGCTCTTTTTTGTCAGTAACTGTTAGCGCCGTTCTTATTCTCTCCCTTAACTCATTGTCTTTGGGGGAGTTAGACACCAGGAGGTGCCTTGTCTGTCATATTTTTCAGCACGTCATCAATTCTATCATCTTCAATAACAACTGTAAATAAAAAAAAGGGGGGGTGGGAAAGAGAGGTGAGCGAGCTTGGGCCTCTCCAGGGGTCCTCCAGTCCTCCCTAACCGCCCCCCCCACTCTGAATTATGACCAGTCGAGGAAGGGGATGGGGGTGGAGCTCCCCACACGCTGAAACAGTCTCATATTCCCCAGCTTCTGCCTAGGATCCCTTCGCTGCTTTTCTCTCAAACACCCCGAGCCCCCAGCCTGCGTCCCAGCTGGATTCTGAGAAAAGAAAGCAGAGAGGACGCAAACCCGCAACCTCGCCTACAACCAGGGCCCGGTACTGCCATTTATTTGGCAGTAAGTCTCCATGGCAGACAGCGTGGAAGGAAGGGGGAGCCGAGGCTTCCGAGGATGGGACCCCAGAGACGCCCTGAGGGCAGCACAAGTGGCCAAGGCTAGCTGCAGAGGCACCGGGAGCCGGGAGACACCGGGCCCGGTTCCCACCGCGCACGCCCCCGTGTGCGCGCCCTCCCCGCCAGCGGACTTGGCCTCTTTGCTGCTCTAAAAGCCAGATCTCCCCTTCACCGCTCTCATCCTATCAGGCCTCGCCTTTCTTAGTCCCTCTATCAATCTCTCCGCGCGACGGTCACCTGTCGAAGTCTCTGGGTCTCTCTGTCTAGGGGTGTCACTCGCTTTCATTGTCTCAGCTGCCTTGCTGTCCTCCTCAGACTTTCTGTCTCTCCCTCTCTGGCTCCCGCCTGGAGCATTGTCTCGGTCTCCCGCACCCCACCTCTGTCTCTCCCTCTCTGGCTCCCGCCTGGAGCATTGTCTCGGTCTCCCGCACCCCACCCCCACGCCTCTCCCTCTGCGTCTCGTTCTCTCTGGGCGGCTGTCAGAATCCCTCATTGTCCCCGCGACGCTGGAGCTCCCCTCTCAGTGTCTCAATGTCTCAGTCTCTCCCGGGCTTTTCCAGCTCGCGCGCCGAGCGCCCAGGCTTGACCACCCCCTCCCTCTGCCAAGTCACCAGGAAGAGCCCGCCGCGACCCGAGCGCCCCTCACCTTCCCCACAGGAATGAGGTCCTCCCCGCGCTGACCCTTGGGGATCCCTGGGACCCCCCCACACCCAGGATTGGATAGCCAGCGCAGCTACCCCTACAATGCGGAAAGGGGGGAGGGGGAGCAGAAATCAAAAAGCAAACTTCGGCGCGGGTGCTGACCCGGCTATAACCCTCCAGTCCCCGCTGCAGCTAGAAACCGCCACGCCCCCGCGGTGACCCCGGGGACCGTCGCACCCACCGGGCTGGGGGAGGGGTTCCCGCAGCTCGCCCCAGCTGGACCCGCAGTGCGGGATCCTCCGACTCTGCGGGACGGGATTCCATCGAGTCCGAACCGGGTTTGGGGTGGAAGACTCCCGCCAGCCTCGGCCAGGCCGTAGAGCCCAAGAGAAAGAGGGTGTCGGGGAAGGGCCGCCAACTCACCCCGCTTGCTCCGGCCAATCTGGCCCAGCTTGGGCGGCCGCTTGTTCTGCCCGGCCCCGAAGAAGTTGTTGGTGTCCTGCAGGCGGCACGAGAAGATCTGGCCCACGTCGCCGCCGTCGCCGTAGGGGCTCAGCTTCTCGTCGCCGTAGGGCAGCACCTCCGACATGGTCGCGTCCGGGGGCTCCGCGGCGGCGCCTCCTCCGCCCGTGTCC